AATTTTTTATTAAATTTAAGACTGATATGTATCATTTTCTTAGTATAATATCATTTATCTTCTTGGTAATATCACCCAAAGATGACGAATTTATGATTATTGTTTCAATTAATTTATGTTGGATCGTGCCAATGTCTTGTGCTTCAATCCATTTCTATCCCGCCACACCAGTGGTATTGTACAATTGCCAAAATTAGCTATAAACAATGACCTTAATTCAAAACAAAAAAACAAACATCTCTATGATCCAATGTTAATTGACCTTGGGTCTAATTTAGAGACTCAGATCAGTGTGAGGGCTAAATGAAAGGCCAGTGCACACATGATTTGAAAGGATAATCCTAATAGGTATAGTAGGGATTAATCTCATGAAAGAAAATGTATGGGCTGATTGGAATAATATTTTTTGATACACCTAATAGTTATTATTGTAAATATTTAACAGCAGATAATCTTTATTATTTATAATTCAAAATATTTAATTGAAAAAATTATAATCTAGTTACTTGTGGTTTATGATTGGTGCACAAAAAAACTTGAGATTTTAAAATATATATAACATACTTGTGATTTAAAGTAGATGCACATAGAGACCTGAGATTATAAGAAGTGCAAATAATGACCTAAAGTTTTTATTAGGTGTATATAACCACTTGAAATTACATGTAATTGTCTTAAATACCTTTATGCTTCTTTTCTTTTCATTCTTTTAAGTTAAGGGTTTTTAAAAAATTTCAAAGAGATTATTTACATAAAGTACAAACCTTAGGTGTGAATGTACACATTTTGATATATTGGGTTTTTATTTGTACATACCTAAAACTATAAGTATGTTATACACACATTTTAAAACCTCGAGTTTTTATGTGCACTTATCTCAAAATACAAATAGTTAAATTAAAAATTTTCCTATTTTATTTATATAATTAAATGAAGAAATATAATGTAATTTGAATTATATTAGATTATATTACATCAATTATTAGATGAGGTGAATTCTTTAATATTGAAAGCTTTTTTTTCATGTAATGATTTTTATTTTATAATTTAATATAATTTAAATTAAAAATGAGTTCCTTAATTAAAATCAATAATTAATAATTTTTTTACATAAAACAAAAACAAACAGGACCGTAGATTTTCAGGACCAGTTGGAAAAATATCAACAGCAAAAAAGTCAAGGAAAAGACCAAAAAGTAAAA